GGGGGACAGGCTTTTAAACCAGCTCCCCCCAACACCAACTCTTGCTCCCTGGGCTTGCTGCTTAGGCTTATCAGTTAATTGTATACTTGTCTACATGTTAACATCCCCAATACACATATTTTGCAAGCTAGCACAAGTGTAAAATAACTGCTCAGCCATAGTTGCACAAGTAGCAGTAGTGGAGGCACAACTTGGCTGTGTTGACTATGTATTCAAAACAGTTTTGGGCTAGTGTGAATATGTGTACACAAGTGGGGAATTACCTCCTCGTTTGTATTGTAGACATAAATAATGATAGCACAGTTCCCTAGGAGTGCAAGCTGTCTTGGCACTGATCTACTATGGCTCTGTGCTTGCTTTCTGAGGCACCAACCATCTGGATGTAAATTTATATAAGGAAAAGTAACTGTAACCCAACTCCAGAGCCTTTTGACTGTCACAGACCAAAAGTTTTGAATCCTCTTTGTTGTGGCCATTTCTTTCCTTGCTACTATAGTTAGCAAACTTTTAATTGTTATTCTGGTTATTTAATGTTGATTGTTTGAATAACAATTGTTTGATTGTCAGTATTAGATTCAGCATCACAGTCCAGCCTTGTCAGTTCCATTCACTTTGTATTATCCAGTCAGTATACTATACAAACAAATAGAAACCTGCACTGTGTAAAGCATGGAGTCAAAGCTACCCAAGAAGACAAAGGGAGAAGCTGAATCAGGTTTGAGGTGTTACCAAGTTTCTGTTCTGCACTGAAGTAGAACAATAAGCATGGATCTGATGAGGCTTGAGGCTCACACTGACTATTCTTGGGTGCAAAACACCTCTGCCTGTGACTTCAATATCCTAGGTCTCCGTCCCCCCATACATTTGTTAATAGAGTTTCTGCTCATCAGTTTTTTCTTCCCACACATACTTATTCTGCTCCAAGAAATTAATTTTGACACACCACATAATCTCTACCTATATGAACTTTGCTATCTGGGAATCAATTTTTAAAATATAGGACTCTTTTGAGATTCTTAAAGACCAGCTACATTTCATACACATTCTGTTAAGAAATCTGGTACCATCTTCTGCATTAGTGAGGACATCTCCTCCTTAGATCCAGGTGGCCATGGATGGCTTCTCACTTTCATCTGATTTGGATTATGATTTTTCTGAAGGATCATGGTAAAAAAAAAAAACCTCAATCTCTTTGCTTTTTTGACTGCTGCTGCACATTGAATGGATGTTTTCAGAGAACTATCCACAATGACTCCCAAGATCTCTCTCTTGAGTAGTTGTATCTAAATTAGTCCCCATCGTATTGTATCTATAGTTGGGATTATTTTTTCCAATGTGCATTACTTTACATTTATCAACATTAAATTTTATTTGCCATTTTGTTGCCCAATTACTTAGTTTGGTGAGATCTTTTTGAAGCTCTTCACAGTCTGCTTTGATCTTAGCTATCTTGAGCAGTTTCATATCATCTGCAAATTTTGCCACCTCCCTGTTGACCCCTTTCTCTAGATCATTTATAAATAAATTGGATAGGTTTGGTTCCAGGACAGACCCTTGGGGGACACCACTCTCTGCTGTGAATACTTACCATTTATTCCTACCCTATGTTTCCTGTCTTTTAACTAGTTATCAATTCATGAACCGACCTTCCCTCTTATTCCATGATAACTTACTTTACTTAAGAGCCTTTGGTGAGGGACCTTGTGAAAGGCTTTCTACAAATCTAAGTATACTATATCTACTGGATCCCCTTTGTCCACATGCTTATTGATCCCCCTCAGAGACTCTAGTAGATTAGTAAGGCATGATTTTCCTTTACAGAATCCATGTTGACTTTCCCCCAACAAATTATGTTCATCTATGTGTCTGACATTCTATTCTTAACTACAGTTTCAGCTAATTTGCCCAGTACTGATGTTGGACTTATTGGTCTGTAATTGTCAGGATCACTTCTACAGGACTTTTAAAATATTGGCATCACATTAGCTATATTCCAGTCATTAGGTATGGAAGCTGATTTAAAGGTTAGGTTACAGATCACAGTTAATAGTTCCGCAGTTTCACATTTGAGTTCTTTCAGAACTTTTGGTTGAATGCCAGCCATCTGTCCCTGGTGACTTGTTAGTGTTAAGTTTATCAATTTGTCTCAAAATCTCCTCTAATGACACCTCAGTCTGGGACAACTCCTCAGATTTGTCACTTGAAAAGAATGGTTCATGTTTGGGAATCTCCCTAACATCCTCAGCTTGAAGACTGAAGCAAAGAATTCATTTAGGTTCTCTGCAATGGCCTTATTGTCATTGAGTGTTCCTTTTGGTGTCTTGATCGTCCAGTGGCCCCACTGATTGTTTAGGAGGCTTCCTGCTTATGATGTACTTAAAAAAAAATTGCTATTACTTTCTGCGTTTGTGTCTAGCTGTTCTTAAAACTATTTTTTTAAGCTTTCCTTATTATATTTTTACACTTAATTTGAGAGAGTTTATGCTCCTTTCTATTTTCCTCACTAGGATTTTACTTCTACTTTTTAAATGATGCCTTCTGGTATGCCTTTTTATCTCTGTTACCAAGAGTCTTCAGGGCAATCAGGCATGACTGAGTTATCACCTCAACTCTAATTTGAGCTTGCTATTTCTGCTTCTCAGAGTTCCTACCTTGACTTTGGAATTTCCAGTTCATTTTCCAAATTGTCTCTGTCTCAGGGCAGTATTATTTTTCTAGGTCTGAAGCCCCTGAATTTAATAGCTTTGAATACAACATGTTGCCGGACATGTGTAAATCACTGACCCACTCTGTGACCTTGAAAAATTCAGTTTAATGTTTTTATTGTTTCAGTAAAATGTGTCTGACAGTGTTTCCCTACTTAGAATTACATTTTTCTGTAAATCACATAGGTGACTTGTAGG